TTGAAAGTGAATAGGAGAAGAAATGGTCCATGAAACTGTGACTGACTGTATATGGCTTGTATTATAACATGTTTAGATAGGCAAATTTTCAGGTGCTTTAGTAATAAGTGCTAATATACTTTTCTAAATAATGAGTATATGGAAGGAGAAAGTTAAGTAAAGTGGGAAAAGGAAAACAGGTAAAATAGCAGTTGATAAGAGACAGAAAGGAAAAGGAGAGAAAAAATGGTACTGGGATCAATACTACCAGAAAGTAACAACATCAGCCTCCCACCAAAGCTCACATGAGTTTGGGTTGTATATCTTCAACAAATAAAGACACAGAAGTGAGAGATGGAATGAAAAGGAAAAAGAAATGAGAGAACAGGTGAAAAAGAATAAATGGAAGGAGGAAAAGAATGAGAAAAAGAAACACAAGTCAAGTCTATATAGGCTTTAAGATGAATTTTTGTAGACTCATTTAGATATATTTCTATATTACTTCATGCTTGAGAGCCATCTGGCCTGCTTCTGGTCCCATAGGCTCCCTCCAGTAATGACTAGTGGCAAATGCTTCAGAAGAACCCTAAATAAACAGTTATGGAGCAAATACATTTCTTCCTAATCTCATTACTATGACGTTGACTTCTGTCCCGAAGCATGAAGAATATCCATTACAAATCTGAGCATTATATTTAATCCTAACTAATATAACCATGGATGTTCTATTTATCCCTATAAATATTCAGTCTTTGTTTGAAACCTGCTAATTCTTAGCCTCCATGATATCTTGCATTAACACGGCTGGAAAATAGTATTTTAAGTTTTCTGTCTCCTGTATTTATTTTATTAATTCATTGCATTTTCATGGCAGAAGAGGGAGAAGTTAAAAGAATGTATGTCCTTCAGGTTAATTATGGTCCAAGGGCATGTAGCATAACTGTATTTAGCCTAATAGAGCTTCTGCTTTAAAGATTGTTTATTTCTATCAATGACAGAAATTTCACAGTTATAAACTAGTTATACCCACACTTTTAAATTTTATTTTGAACATACAATCAAAAATTAAATTTCAATCTCTTGCTCAAAATTGCTGGAGTGCATATATTAAATATAATCTTGCTGTTGACTTCAACAAGGCTAGAATTTATCCCTTTACAAAGAAAAACTTTCAGTTGGTCTATACAGGTTTGCCTTCAAAAGAATCACTGAATCAGGCATTTGGCCTTCCATAATAGATCATGAAAGTACGTCAGCAAAAAGCAATTAAAGGAATGTACCTATATAGGTTTTCTATTTTAATTTATAATTTCTCTGGCCAGTCAGACAGCCCGAAAGAGGGGCCAGAAGCTTTGCAGATGAATCATGAAAAACTGTGCGGAAGAGTCGATGTAACCACAGACTGACATGGTGACTAGATGGCTCCATGGCATCTCCACTGCTATGAATATATTTCCTTAGTTAGTTAAAATCTGTGCAGCATCAAGAACATATTTTAGTATACAGTCTTGGAGACCGTATAACTTCTCAGACACCAAAATGATGTCATTTAGTGTGTAGGGGGAATGTAGAAAGAGGATTAGAGGCAGTCGGGCAGGATATATTAAACGAATCCATGACTAACAGGGTGTGACAGCAAAGGGTTTCATTCTTTTCAACAGAACAGTTCCCTAGGGCTGGTACTATTGCTCCACTGTGCCTTTATCACCTTGGAATTTTTATGGTTATTTTTGATGAATTCACATATTTGTAAAGGCTTTTTGACATTAAGCCAATTTTCATTTTTAATTAAAGGTCGTAAATAATAATTCTGCTTTTAAAAGGTTTATTGTTTCTTACTTTTTATTATTGTTACTGCCAGGAAATATTTCAAATACCAAAGCATGATGTGAGTTAGCAATAAGTTCTCAAAGGTCCAGTAACTACGCTGTACCTTGTAAACATTATACACTGCAAAGTGAGTGTATGCATTTAAAAATTTGCCTTGATTGATACCACATTTTTTCTTTTTCTTTCTTTTTTCTCGGGTTTGACTTATTTCTATGTCCACATATTAATGCATCTCAAATGACCCAGGAGTATACATAAATCCTTATCAAGTGGACTGGCTGCAAAACTAAACAACTTTTAAGTTTAAGCCTAAAAAAATAGTCAAGTGAGGAGTATGGAGGGCCAGCTCTAAACTGTGTGGTATAAAGGAAGAATGGAAATGAAGAAAACCATATGGGGAATATAACCCTAAGTGGGATCCCCAGATACTACTGCAGTTTGACACATTTATGCAGAGTGCATACCATATTATTTTAGTTTCAATTATGGTAATATTACTTTAGAGTTTGTTGGTCTATTTTAGATGTATTATCCAAGTTTTATTTAATGTGTCACATGTAAATTTGACAGAATATTATGGCATGATCACCACCTGCCTTCCATACTTGCACCTAGAAGGAAATGGGACATAATACCTCTTTCCTCCTTTCTGCCATATGTGTATCCTGTGAAGAGCAATCTTTTGCATAGACAGTCCAAAAGAAGACGAGTAGGAAAAAATAGTGGGTAGAGTCACAGCATCAGTTAACACAGGAAAGACTAATGATAGATTACTTTGCCTCGGTCTGTGCTCAGGGCAGTGTCCAACAGAATAAGCACCCTCCTGCCAGGCATGGGGAGGGAGCTTAGCCTGAGCACAGGCTGATCAGTGGCTATAGACCGAGTGGCCAGCAGACTCGGTCTGTGCTCAGGGCCAGCCCCTCCTGACAGGAGGGAGCTTATTCTGCCGGATGCTGCCCCAAACGCAGACTGAGCAGCAGCTGCGGCTGGGCTGGGCAGACCCAGCTACCATGCCCCAGGGGCAGAGCGACTAATAACCCCACTCCCTGCTCCCCTCCTCCTAGAGGCCCTGCAGGCAGCGTCTGGCTCTCTCCCACCCCTGCCCAGCTGCTGGACCTGCAAGGGGGGAGCTATTGTGATGGGGGCAACAGCCCCTGTCCCCATTACCCCAAATATGAGCTTCTTCCTGGCAGGCAGAGCTACTGCAGAGTGCGACAGTGCTGCAAAGGTGCTGCTGCACACAGCCTGCCACAGCTCTGCCAGCCCCGCAGTGCAGCGCCCCTTTTGGGAAGGGGCTCGCATTCCCTGACATTATGACAGGGGCTGCTGCCCGCCAACAAGGACCCTGCCCCCTCCTGCTGCAGTGACAGGGCGGGGGCATAGCCAGACAGGGCCCCTTGCGGGGAGGGGGCAGGGACAGGGTTTATTCCTCCTCCCTCTGGCATCCAGTGGAGGGGACAGCAGGGGGCCTATTCCCCCACAGGGAGCCAGTGTGGCAGCGATGGCAGGCAGACCCAGCTGCCAGTGGGGGTAGAGGGAAAACTAATTCTCCTCCCTGCCCTCCTCTGCCTCAGCGGCCATGGTGCCCCACTGCTGGGGCTGCAGCAGTGAGTGGGGAATGCCCAGCAGACCCGGCTTGGGTCCCTACCGGTGGGATAGAGAGGGGGGGAATTAAACCTCTCTTTGGTCAGACCCCTGCCCCTGCCTGTCCCTGCTCTAGCTGGGGAGCAGGGGGTGAGGCCAGCCTGGCTGGGCTGGAGCAGAGAGCACAGCCCAGAGAGCATGCCAAGATGCTGGGGGAGTCTGGTTTAACTTAAACAAGGAAGGGGTCTGGGAAAGATTTTGCATAAATTGGTTTGAGCCAAATCAATTAAGTCTGATACTACATTCAACCAGATTTATTTCAAGCCAGTTTCAGTCATTTTGAAACTGGTTTATGTGCACTGAATGTCTGTTCTGTTACAGGTTTAAACCAGTTTCTGACCACTTAAACCAATTTATGTGTAATGTCTGTCCCTAGCTTCTATCACTGCCCAGCTGCTGCTTAGTGCTGTCCCTGTGACCTGCAAATCAGAAGGTAGGAGGAGAATAGATTTAGGCAGGACTGCCCCGGATACATTTTTTCTACCCTGTGCCTCTGATCCAACCCTACATATCGCAGCCCACAAAACTATACTCCAGGGTTTCAGACACTGTCTAAACAAAACTATCACCATCATCATCAATAGCAAAACAGTCCATTACAGCTAAATATAGTCCTTTTTGTGTGTGCTATGACATTAGGACTCTACTTCTCTTTAAACTATTTACATATTCCTCATCACTTTTTAAGTGAAAATTTGGGATTTATTCTTAATGGCAATTGATTTTTGTAACAAGGAAAAATCAATTTTGAACTTTGGGAGTTCTTTGACATTGCTCCCAAAGGCTGTGGTGTACAATAGTACAGGGAATCAGATCATGTCCCCAGATAACAAATTCATTTTTCAACATTTAGTTTATGCAAGTGTCACGGGACTCGCATCCATTGAAACCCAACATTGTGAGATAGCTCAATATTTTCAAATGGCTGGTGTTTGCAAATATGATTAATACTTCTCCAGAGTTCATTTGACCCATGAGCCATCTATCAATCTATGATGGGTTAGCAGTATAAACTGGATGTTACATTATAACATATTCACCTGTTAAATTAATTTTATAAATACAATCTCTTTTCTTAATGTTTTTGTGTCAAATGCTTGCATATATCCATAAGGAGTAGCTCTTATAGTTTGAGACACAGTAAAACAGTCTTAAGGAATCAAAGGTAAATTATCACCTGGGCACCACTAGATTCTTGGACTGTGTTTTTCTTAATGAAGGAGTACCAGACTTGGAGTTTAAACTTTCAGCCGTGCACACAGTGGCATAACTAGGGCAGGACCATGGGGGCAACCACCCCAGGCACTGACTTGGAGGGGGATACGGGATGGAGAAGAGAAACAAACAAACAAACAAAACCTGCTGCTGCTGACAACCACGTAATTATGATGGCATGCTGGCAGCACCCAGAAGTTGCTGTTGCCCTTTTGCCCTGGGCACCCAGCCATGTTACTACACTGCTGAGTGCCCAGACTTGATAGTTTTAGTTTTATAACATTAACTTCACTAGAAAATTCCTATGTATATCAATCCTTAGGAAAAGTTACCTTTTTCCTGGCCTGTTGGTCTTTGGAAGAATGTGCCTTTACATGCTTTCTCAGGGAACTTGGATCTGTGTATCGCTTGGTACATCCTGGAATCTGACACGCATACGGTTTCTAAAACAAAACCCAAAACAGGACAAAGCCGCACCTGTTAAACCACAGATTTTTGTAACAAGGAAAAATCAATTTTGAACTTTGGGAGTTCTTTGACATTGCTCCCAAGGGCTGTGGTGTACAATAGTACAAAGCAGAATGCCCAGTAGCTTAATAGCACAGTAAAGAAGAAAGTGAGGCTTGTCAGGGAAAAAAAGCATATTATTTTTTTCTGACTTTTAACAGCCCATTTTTAATTCAATTGAGCCATTTCTTAATGTACCTTATGATTGTCTTTGTCATTGTAAATGCATATGTCCAGTTGTACTTAGAATTCTTCCACCCTTGGAGCACCCCTTTTCACCCTCAGGGTTAGTCAGAAATGATATTCTTTAGTGAATCAGGTTAAGAAACTGCAGTATAGGCCCAGATAGACTGCTTGAGAGTTATAGAAGAAATGCGCTACAGAAAGAGGGAGAATACGAGAAAAGGTTAATCTACAATATGACAGAAGCAGCAAATAGAAAGCAAGTTTTAGATATTCAAGTACCAGAAAGGTAGAAAGTTGCAAAGATGAATACACAAAGAATATATATTTTTATGTGAAGTAGAAGTCGTGTTTTTGGGTTCATACTTTCAAAATATACAACGTGACCAAGATAGTCAGTCCCAGTGTCCAAGTAGGGCAAGTTTTTTTAAAATTCAGTGGGCACATCTACATATGCACTGATGTGCCATTGTTACTGTGCATTAAGTTTAGTACCTGTAATAACAGGCACTAAATGTACAATAATTGGCACTACTGCTCAGTAGCACCGGTGCATGGTCTTTAAGTGATGCTAATGCTCAGCAGATTAATTCTACTGCACATTAGAGCATTAGCACAGCTGTTGCCGACTGTGCATTTAACATCTCGTATAGACGCATCCACTAAGAGTCACGTGTACTTACTGTAATCTCTCTGGAACATCTTGGAATATTCACAGAGCATTTATGCCACAATATGGAGTATTACATATATGAAAATACATGAAATTGTGACCTGTTTGAAACGACCATTGTGTTGGCTATTCACTAATTGAAAATTAGCATTTAAAAGGTTTGTGACAAGTTATATATTATTTCTATTCTATTTCCTTTTGTAAACTCTGATTCTGCCTAAAGCTAATGTTATTAAGTTTTGTGATAAATTTTGTTTACGTAGTAGATCCTGTCTGGGAGCCCAATATTCAAAAACAAAAATTTGCTTGTACTGAAGTCTTTAATTTTTACAATAGGTTATTCCCACTCCCCCCCTGCTTACCAACCATAATTTACTGTTATGCACAATAGGGTATCCTTTCTCACCCCCACAATTTACAGAAACTTACTGTTATATTTTCTCAATGCAACTTGAACAAAAACTGTCTCTAGGGATATCTGTATGTTTGATCATTCTACATGTTTTGCTTGTCTCCAAGCAGTCATTTGTGGAGCCCTGAAAATCTTATAACTAGGAAAAAGATTACACCTTCAACCCACAGGTAGGCCATATGTCTTCAGCTTCCCCTTTCCTAATAAACTAGTTTTGTCAATGTATCAGTCTGTTTGCAATCTTTGATAGCATTTTTCCAAACATTTCTGTTTTTTCCCAAGCATTTCAATTCATCTTTAGAACTGAAAGACTCTGTGGCAGAAAAATTCTGTTCCTGCCCTGAAGAGGTTTCCTTCCCACGTAGGACAGTTGAGAATGGATGTTTCGGTAAAACAGATCTCCCCAAATAGTTATATTACCACAACTTACTATATGATGCAAACAAGTCTAAAACAGTCATTGACACAAGCATAATTGACAGTCAAGTAAAATGTAATCCACTTTAAAAGTTTTGTTCCCTGATGTTCTCAGTAGACCTTCATTACTTGTTCATTATACACTGTATCATAAAACAATCTCTTCTAAACGCCAGAATCTGCAGCACCATATAATGAACATATATACACTTTAAATTGAAGCAACATTTCACAGACCAGTCTAGTTCTGATGAAACATCAAGGGATAGATTAAGAAAACAGCGGAATCAATGGAAAGACTCCCATTGACTTTACTGGAACTTTGGATCAAGTCCAAATGAATTGATTTTAATATGCCTTTTTTTAAAGGAGCACAGTAATTGCATCAATCACTAATCTGCAGTAATGAATGTTAAGGTCAAATCAACTCAAGGGAGAAGTTCAGTGAAATCATGCTATATGACTAAGATGGATAGGATTTTGCCCTCAGAGTATTTTGTGTTTTGGGATTTATTTCTATAACATCTTGATTTTTCAGCATGTTTCTCCTGTCTGAAAGGACTTTCTTGTTCTGTATCTTTGCAGGCAACGGTCAGTATGCTCATAGTCATTGCTCACGTGATTTTGAGATTAATAATTAAGGCCCATCTTACATGCTTACTTTACATACCTCAGTAGGTAACCAAAGCCTACAGTGAGAGACTGCGGGACCTGAACCTATTCAGCCTCCACAAGAGAAGGCTGAGGGGGGACCTGGTGACCGTCTATAAACTCACTAGGGGGAACCAGAAGGGTTTGGGGGAGACGCTGTTTCCCCTAGCCCCCGCTGGCATAACAAGGAGTAATGGGCACAAGTTGATGGAGAGGAGGTACAGATTGGACATCCGAAAAAACTACTTCACAGTTAGGGCGGCTAGGAGCTGGAACCAACTTCCAAGGGAGGTGGTGCTGGCCCCTACCCTGGGGGTCTTTAAGAAGAGGCTGGATGCCTACCTGGCTGGACTCATTTGAGTCCCGTTTTTGTTTTTAGGGTTTTTTGTTGTTCTCCCGCCCTGGCGGGGGGTCGGGCTAGAAGATCTATTAGGTCCCTTCCGACCCTAAAACTATGAAACTATGAAACTATGAAAGCCACCTCAGAACAGACAGGTAGGCTTACCATCTGTCAGCTTACCAGAAGGCTTACCTTCTGTCAACTCCAATCTTAGTATACACAGAGGAAACAGAGAAATCTGAATAAGACTTCAGTAATACTCTTGCAAGAGACTTGATTATGCCATAACTACCACTGCTCAGATTATGTTAGCAATCATTTTGTTTTATCGTCCTATCACCCAGTGATATCTGCAGCAACATGGTGAGAAAAAAAAAGAAAAATAGGACTTACAGTGTCCAAGTGTGTTCTCTGATGCTTTGCTCGATCGCTGGAGTTACTGAATGCTTTCTGACAGCCAGGATGCTGGCAAAGGTAGGGTTTCTCTCCAGTGTGGCTCCTTAAGTGAATCTTGAGATTTTCTAATCTGGAAAAGGCCTTCTTGCAGCCCTCAAACTATAAGAAAGAAAGAAGTGATTTACAAAAAAACCCAACAACCCCAAATCAAGCTTAACTAGTCCACAGAGGGCTTTGTGCTGCTACAGTTACTACCTGAGCTACTTTGCTTAAAGCTCAAGGACCTCTATGGTATATTGCAGTCTGCAGAGTAGATACACTCCTAGTTACTTGTATGACCCCTTTTCTGTAGCATCTGAGCAATTTACAAGTTTTTAATGTATGTATCCTTACAAAACCCCAGTGAATTAGGAAACAAACATTATTCCCATTTTACAGATTGGGAATTGAGGCCTAAGGAGGCCAAGGGCCAGATTCACAAAAGGATTTATATATAATTTAGAAGCCTAAGTTAATGGGTGCCATTCTGAGAACCAGTGCTCTGCTGGCACCAAAAGTTTTCACCAGTAATGATTCACAGATGCCTAAAGCTGCCTTAAATTTGTCAGGGATGAGCAACCTAGTATGAACATTTAAGTATAATGACAATCCTCAGACTGGGCATTCCTTCACCTATATCCCTAGAGCATCCCAGTTTGGTAGGTCCACTCAGAGCACAACTACAGCTCACCTACAATTTCAGAGTCTGTGCAAAACAGCAGCAGCTAAGAAATGCAGTCTGGAAGGAGTGATAGAAGAGGCAGTGATGGTTGTTCCTCCTCTAGGAGAGTGAGAGCGAGGGAGCAAACGTGTCAGTGAATATGGAAGAATGTGCATGATTCCCTGTCCAAGCAGCTGGAATGCTCACCTGAGAGTCACCAAGAGCCACTTACTTATGCACTTCATCTGAAATATATTCCATGTAAAACAGAACAGAATCTGGAACCCAGCTTTTCTTTCCCCCAAATGAATGTCCTGACCTCTAGGCCATAGAGACACACTCCTTGTTCTCTCTGTCTCTCTTTCATTCTGGCCAAACAAATCTTTCTCCACAGTCACACTGCTTCAGCAGGCGGGATAGAGAATGCCCCCAACTAAAAGAGCCTAAAGGTTAAGCCAGGTAGTTAGGGTAGTCTCTTAAGAGATGGCATATAGGGTTTAAATCCCTCCTTTGTACCCCCTGCTAATGCTTTTAATAAAGGGCAGAAACTGAGTTGAAAAACATCTTGCAAATATTTGCTTGATCAGAGATCCTTGAAACTAAGTTATATTAAAATGACCTTTGAAATATTACATTACCTTTCTATTATAGGTTTTTATATAAGGTACTAAGATTAACTGGTTCATCATTAGAAACGATCATCACAGGTCTTAATCCATATGGGTAACCAATAATCAAGTGCAACATTATTCCTTTCCCCAATAAGCTACTACATATATTGAGAAACCTACGTGCATGTCCATTAGACTAACACCAGTTCTTTCATGATCAGGTTTCCATGTTTCCCTCTAATGTTAGGGAAACTAAAGGACTGTGTGACATCAGCATTTTGATGTACATTTGATTTCAATTTCATAGACTCCACTCTTTCATGATCGTAGACATAGGCTATGATCGTAGACAATTATAAACGTAGGCTTTTACAATTCCATCAGTCAAGACCAATTAATCCCATTCATTTTAGCTACTGTTCATTGCATTGCACAGTATCAGAGGCCACCTGGTGAACTATATGTTAGCTTGTTGTTCATGTTTCAAGAGAAAACATGCATTGGCATAAATGTCACATTGCTAATGCTGCAGATATAATATGAGTCATTTCCACAGCTTCTAATACTCATTTATTTCACCTACCTTACAAGAAACTGAAGTAACGTAATGACATTTGTTTTATTTATTGTACAATGATGTTGCAAAAATAGATGTAGATAAGACAGACTGTGATCAAAATTTGCATTGGCTTGTAATGCATTAGAGCTGAAAGGGGAAGGAGGAAGAGGAGGAGGAGGAGGAGAAGGGGAAGGACAACTACTCACATTTTAATTTTTTAAGCATTTGAAATAATGAATAAAGAAATTCCTATAAATTAACAGATTAAAAAAAGTATAGGAAAAGGATGAAGAAAAGTAAGGCATAGTTTTGAAAAAAAATAACATTTTGAGTATTTGCTTTCACACTTTTTTCTTCCATAGCAGAGGAAGAAAAATAATTGCATGCTATCCAGGCAAATTTAGGATATGAGACAATTAACAGAATTTTAAAATGCTATAGCATAAAAAGAGGGGAAAGGGTGCCTTGTTTGGGACAAAGAGCCAACCAAAACCTTTGCTTAAACTTCTCAGGAAACTTTACACAACAGGTCATTTTTCATTTTAACTGACGCTTTTATGCGAACCAAATATACCGGGCTTTTGAGGTCCTCCAATCACAAATAATCATAATCATACAAAAATTCAACTGTGCTTGAAGGCAAAAAAGGCAACATTATTGGCTGTTCTTAGTCAGTGAAGTTTTGGAGGGAAAAAGTCATAACATCAAAAAAGTAACAAATCTAAAACTGAATTTTGCTTTATAGTATTTTATTACTTTGAAATATTCTATGATAGGCCCATGAGAATTTATAGACAATCATGAAATATCAACATTTCCTGACAAGGAACAGAGTAAATATGATATTTTTGAGGGAAAATATGCAAGAAAGGAAAATATAAGTACTACATGCTTAGTATGAAAGAATGGCCAAGAATTTGAAAAAAATCATGTAAGGACATTTAGGTGGAATTAATAATGAAACCCACTGACAACAGAGAAAAATAACATTTGGGCAAATTAATAAATATTGCAAGATGAAGTTTTAAAACAGAAAGAGTTTTCTAATCAAATGGCATGGATTAAACTGTATATCATGGTTTAATCAGAGTCCCTGCAATGTAAGCCCTATAGCTGCAAGTAACTTTAAACTCTATAGGATAAAATTAACCCTATGGCAGAGGTTCCAGAGAAGGCTCTTTGAACTGTTGAAGTCCTATGTTTATTACTTAAGCCTTGATTTTGTAAATACTTAAAAGTTAGCACATGAAAGTATATATAGAGTAGGAGAATTAACAGAAAACTTAAACCAATAATTAATTGGACAGATACAAGGTGAAATTATCACTAGAAGAATAACACCCCTCCCCTGTAAAGAATTCAGCAATCCTTAAATTCAGATCACTTTAAGTATGAACTGGCATTCACTCAAGTGCTGGAAACTTCCGGCAGCTATAAATAATTCTGGGAGATGAAGTCTATGACATGCCACCTTACAGCCACCCTCCTCTTCTCTGCTCCCTGTACCTTCTCCAGTCTGGAAAGATCCCAGCCTGGGGAAGGTATGGGGTGCAAGGTCTTGGGAGGGAGGGGAGCAGTGGGGAAAGCCTTCCTGTATGCAGAGGAGCCACTGTTCCTCCCCTCCAGGCTTTGGGAGGGGAGGATGCGGCAGGGCAATGCTCCTTGCCTATTCTTCCCCAGACTAGGGACCCCTGGTCATGGGAAGGTTCAGGGGGGCAGGGGTAGAGGTGGCAGCAGCTTAACTCCCCAGTGATCAGGTGAAGTCAGGCCGCCGGGAAATGTTCCCATACCTTTCCTAGACCAGAATCCCCTGATCAGGGGAATGCACAGGAAGCTGCTGCTCGACTCTTGCCAATCACAGAAGTCAAGCATGTGGGTGTTCATTCCAGCAAAACCTTTGCCTTTGATACCTGGAAGATCTCCCTCCAGGATGGGGCACATTTCCTCTGGGAGGAACTGAATGAATAGGTGTACACTGGCAATTTCTACTTGGAGAGTGACAATTCTCCCAGTAGAAACATAATGCCTGTATGTGGCCTATGATACTGTAAATTGCTCTCTTCTCTTTAGTAAAATAACCTATTGGGTCACTGAGCCTGAAATACTGGAAATCCTTTTTTAGATAGTTCAATATTAACTCAGAAAATGAAATTTCTGAAGTTTAGTAAACTGCTCAAATTCTAAAAGATACAAATTAGAAAAAATACGTTCTTTTGAATGATATAAAATATATAATCTTCAATGCAAAGGGGACTTAAGATAAATAATACCATTGAAAGGAGTAGCTGAAGGGACCAAACTGATCATAGTGGTGTTTTCAAATGGAAGTCTTCATAGTTTCCAAGTTATTAAGTGTGGTAGTGGAAGAGGATGTAACACCTTTATTGCAATTAGTCACCTTAGTACTTGCTGTGCGTTTGGCATTCTAAGGCTATATAACACCCCTAACCATAATTCTGATTCATTCAGATTTTCTGGAAGTATTAAAATGTTGTGGAATTAATTTAAAAAACCCCCTCTGTAATGTTTTCTTAAACTGCAATAAAGGGCTCACAGTTTACTGCATTTTTCTTTTTACTGTTGCATTCAAATTGAAACCATTAACTAGCTCATAAAGACAATTTCCTGGCTCAGAATGTTTCTTAATTTTGACCTAGAGTTTTCTGTAAAATAAATACATTGCACTAGCTATGCATTTGTGTACATGGTTGTTTTGTTCTTATCTACACAGATCTCACACATTGATTATCAAAGTTATCAAAATATATCCCCTTGCACAAAGACATCCCCACTCCTTTTATGTTGGCTAGAGAGAGAAATCACACAAACTGTTATAAGTGATTGGAAACCACTAACACAAGAGAAGTTCAGTGTGCATAAACTACTTTCAAAATGGCTGAAACTAGTTTAAGATAAGCCTGGATGGATGTAGTATCAGACTTAGCTGATTTAGGTTAAATCATTTTATTGAAATTCTGTTCCAGATCCCATCCAGATTCAAGTTAACTCACAGTCCCCCAGAATCCCAGGACACTTTGCACCTCCCCTGGA